GGAGTTCCAGGGGACGTAGAAGCCGGAGACAGCCGCTGCAAAGTAAAACATAGCATGCCTGCCAACTGGTTTCATGGCAGCTCCAACAATCTCTAAATCTGCCATTCAAAACCATCATAGAAACCAGCGTTTGCACGGCACGTTTCTTACTTGGAGGTACTCGAAGAGCATAATGAACTCGAGCTTCAAGAGCTTCTTCAGGAGCACCGCCTGTTTTGATTCTTAAGAACTCAAGAAGAGAAACAAGAACTCAGAATGATGTCCTGTGACTGCCCGGCTCACAGCATCAAACCATTTTTCTCGTGCTGCGAAGCGGGAGTTAAACTCTCGAAGAAATAAAAGGCAGATTTCGCTTACCCAGGGATTATCCGGCAGCGAGCGGCAAAATGGCTGCATAGATCCTCTAAAAAGAATTTCACGAAAGTAGCATCACCATTTGCAAAAGAAAAAACAGAGTGCTGCTTGCCTCCGATGAAGGAAAATCACAGCAACTTGCTGCAAAAAATAAAATAAAATAAAATAATCATAAAAGAAGAATGAATAGAAAGAATAACGGGCTGCTCCTCGACTCCCCAAGCTGAAATTGTCAATGACCCTAACGCATCGTCGCTCCAAGGGCACGGTCGTGCCCCCAGATGTAACAATGGCAATGCGCGTCGTCTAGAATCACGAGATTCAGCTACATGCTAGTTAAGGATAAAACCTGGCCGATGGCCGATGCCGCCTTCCAGATATCCAAGAAGCGATTCACGCTCGCGACCACATCGTCACGGCATCGGAGAGGCGGGGCCGAATCGAAGAACGATTGAGCTTCTTGCCCATTTTATAAAGGTAAAGTTTCGGAAATGTAGTAAGAATCAAGAGGAGCGTGAGTTTGCGAGCAGCACAAGAGCAGCTCCATCGCTGGGGCTTGAAAGCAAAGCTCGTTTCGTCACTCGAGCACCGTTTTTCCAGATTCTATCGCCTCTGGAAGAACTTAGCATGGACGTCCAGTCCCACGAGTTGGGAAGAAAAGGCATGGTTTGCACAAGCTCTTCCGTCGCATCCAGGTATCCCGCTCGCCCCAGCATGTCCACGATGCAGCAGTAGTGTTGCTTCCACGTTTGGAACACCTTCTTTGCAAGAGAAAGATGCCCTTTTTGGGCATATGCCGAGAGCATGGCGTTCCAGGACACCAAGTTCTTGTCTGGCATTTCTTGAAAGACTCTTCTAGCCCCGGTAAGATTCCCTTGCAAGGAGTGTGATGTTAGCAGAGTCTTCCAGGTTGCAAGATTCCATGCCGGCATTTTCTCGAGGATTTTCGTGGTTTCGTCCATGGCTATGGCGTTCTAACACACGGCATCTACGTATGGAAGAGAATCAAAGAGGCAGCTGGCTTCCTCAAGGCGTTGGCTTTGGGTGTAGGCGACGAGCAGCGTTGTGACGGAGACAAGATCGTGCTGTGGCATCTGATCGTGAAAGAAGCGCTCCGACTCTTTCAAGAAGCCGGAAACGATTGCCGTGCAAGTCGAGAAATTCCTCACACGCATGGCGTGGAAGAGCTCCAGATGCCCGTGACGGGAGAATGCTGCAATTGCGCAAGTGCACGAGACGACATCGTGCTCCGGCATCTCTTTAAAAGTGCTTTCTACATCCGCGAGCTGAGATAAAGCCCCCAGCATCATCGTCCACGAGACCAAGTTGTGAGCAGGCGTTTTGCTAAAGACTACCTTGGCAGAATCAAGATGCCCATTTTCGGCAAATGCAAAAAGCACCGTGTTTATAGTAACAGATTGTATTCCTTGCATTTTGCCTCTCTTGGAGTCAACAGAAATCATAGTAGTAAATGACACGAGGCTCCAGCACGGCATGCAGCTGAAGAGCCTTCGCGCTTCATCAAAATGCCCGTTTTTGCAGAAGGCAACCAGCAAAAGATCCCAGCTGAACTTGTCCCTCTTGGCCATACCATGGAAGATTTGAGCTGCGTGTTTGATGTTACCACATCTACCGTGCATTTCAATTTGCTTGTTCATGACGAAAACACTGCTTAGATATGAATTTCTAAAACACTCCATGAGACAAATTATTTTTTACTATTTGATGGAACTGAGCAACAATCTAGAGTTGGAAGGTCCCTGATTTTTCTGGAGGAGGGATCCACCCAATTCCATGGTATCTAGCGCTCGTCCATCCCCATTCTACGTTTCCGGCCATCCACACCTCTATCCCGTTCACATAGTCCATGACTCCTTGCTTCATGGCAAGCCCACTTGAAATGATCTCATGCTTTGTCCGAGCGAAATCCTTCTCCAAATCCTTCAGCATGCTCGCAACCTTGCCGATTGCCTCGTTCAAGCCACACTTACGATTGCTGGCGAGAATGGGCACGGCGTTGAGGTAGTTTCCTGTCGCCCACTCCTTCCTGAGCGACATCAAGTCATTGTGGAGCGCAATGTGGTGCGTCCCAATCTCCTCAACCTTGCGTATGAGAGGATGATCCAGCACGCCACGCTCCTCCAGCCTAAGTTGCAGTAAACCATCAATCAGAGCAAAGCAAGGAGCCACACCAGATGTGATCTCTCTCAGCCAGAGGTACGTATCCAGGTTGGGAATGATTTGCTTGCGAAGCCAGCTCGATTCAATCTCAAACATGTCGAGCACCCTGGTCATAGCATCCACGAATCGGCCTGATTCATCCACTACATGGAGGGACAATTCTTCCAAGACCTCAGATAACATCTTCATTTGCCTCAGCAGCTCCGGATTTTTCACTGGAAGCGTGGCCTCGTCAAATCTTCCCTTTAAAACCATCTTGTATGCAGTTGCCACATTCCTCATGTCCGACGAGGAGATCTCCGGGCTATCCAGAATGTCATCTGCAAGAAAGAACGAAGCGAAGAACTTTCCAACCGGAACAATCTTCTCGTATGGAATGGTCGGGTAAACATAAGCCGCGAGCAATCCAAGCCTGCTTTCTTGAACAAACACAGCTTTCTCGCTTCCAGGTTGCAACTTCAGAAACTCCGCGCACCACGCATCGATCTGAGACTCGGCCTTTGCATCGTACAGAGGATTCAGCACTGGAGAGACAAGGAGTTGACACACTGGTGGAATGGAATAGCTTTTCTCTGCTGCGAAAATGCTCGCAATGGATGAAACAGCCATGAAAGAAGAGTCCTAAGTGAACTCTGAAAGAGGGCCTTATATATAAAATTAGAAGCAAATTCAAACTAAACTCTATTTCTGCGAAAGCCTTGGGAAACATCCCAGGAGAACATCTATAGTATTTACACAATATTCAGGATATGTGATTACAAATCTCTTTTTACTGGCCTTTGTTACCAAGTAATTCGTCCGCGAGCGCGTTTGCCTCTTCGTGTCTCCCTTCTCTCGCTAGCTCCTGGATCACCGCTAAGCCTCGGCATTTGGCCTGCTTTTCCTCGAGAGCGTCATCTCTTCCAAAACTTCCAGGGCCTTGCCGAGCTCTTTCCCCTGGCACAGCCCCCTGATCAAGGCCACATAGATATCGTGGCGAGGAGGCGTGCCACTCTGCTTGATAGCCTCGAGAAGCTCCAGAGCTGCGCTCATTCTCCCTGTGGTACACAGCCCGTCCATCATCACCTGGTACGCGAACATATCCGCCTTGCAGTTCTCGTCGCGCTCCAGTCTCTCGAGCATCTTGCGAGCCTCTTCCAGGTCCCCAGTCCCACAGAAGCCACCGATCAAGCTCCTGTACGTGATAACGTTCGGCCGTTGCCAACCATCTCCTCCAGCAGCTTGTAAGCCACCGTCGGCTTCCCAGCTCTGCAGAACGCGTCAATGAGAGCGGTGTAGAGCGGTGAGAGCGGTGTCACCACACCACGTTGGGCTGGCATCCCCGCTTGGCCATTCGCTTGAGAACTCTGCGCGCCTCCACCATTCTTCCGACTTTGCAGAAGCCGTCGACCAGGCTTGTGTAAGTATACACGTCCGGAGAGCAGTCACTGGCAACCATCTCTTCCAGAAGCCTCTCGGCATCATCCACCAGTCCAGCATTACAGTATCCTTCCACTAGTGTCGAGAAAGTGACGACATCGGGGAGGATTGCCTGCTTGAGCGTGTCGTCGAACAACGTGCAAGCCATGTTGATCCTCTCCAGCTTACAAAACCCGCCGATCAAGCAGCTGTACATGATAACATCCAGGTTGCAAAACTTGGCCTTCATGTCTCCAAACAGCCTGTTCGCTTCTGGCACCCTTCCCGTCTTGCAAAGTCCGTCAATAAGTGTGTTGTAGGTGATGATATCCGGAAGGCACTTTGTTGCTCTCATCTCTTCCATCAGCAAAAGTGTGGGGTCTACCCTGTTGGCCATGTAAAAGCCATGGCTCAAGCTGTTGTAAGTCACCATGTTTGGCTCAATGCCCCGGACTATCACTCTCATGACTATCTGTGGAAGATGAAACTAGGGCATTGTTGTTTGCAAGTGGTTGTTGTTGGACTCAATGTGGTCACTAAAGCCAAAGTTCTAGATGGAGTTCTAACACCTCACAATGTTGTGTGTATTAACTTTGCATTCCTCACACCACCAGTAATACCGCCGAGTTTCAATTTACATCCTAAAAAAGATTGTAGCTCCTCCACAAGCTTCTTTTGTTATTGGGTTTACTGCTGCACAAGTGCTCAATGCTCCTTAAGCTCATTGAGTGTTAACTCAATCACTATGGGCATTTTGTCCTTAACGACATATGCTAGTTCGACAATAGCACATATTTGGGCTTGGAAGCTTGGCTGAGAGTGAATGTTGTGATGCATGCCAAGCTCAAAGAGTATGTCCTTTTCCACCCCTAATGCATGGCCAAATGTTATTTTGCAAGTTTCATATTGGCACTTGAGGACTTTACATTGTATTTCAAGTTTGAGTCCTTGGATGAATGCCAACACCATGGACTTCTCATTTGCTATCAGCCTCTATAGCAAGCATGCACACCAATGCTTCTTAAATTGGATAGTGTAGTTACTAATACTCTTTTGTAGCATTTGCCAAAATTAAAACAGTTCATATAGAGTTGTTAGTCAATTTTCTCAATTCCAAATTATTTGAAAAACTTATCAATCATTATAGAAAATGATCATCATTCATTTGGAAGCAAGAAAGATGCCCAATGTGCTGCTCTTGCTTTCAAGGATCTCAAGAATAATTTTTGGGACAAAGCATCTTTAGTGATTTTGTTGTATCGTAAGTAAGTTTGAAATTGATCAATGTTATTACGAGTCAAAACACTTGATCCAAGATAGAACTTTGAAAAGTCTATTGCCCTATAAAGAATATAAATAGTTTCCACTATTGGTATAATGTTTTGATTGTGCTCCTCTTTGGAATCTATTATAAACAATGAAGACTTACTTACTTAGAACACCATTTAGTAGTTAAGCTGACATAAAAGCCTTAAGAATTCCTCTAAGTTATATGTGTGTAAAGAGGAGTTTATATAGCAATAACACTTGACCAACAAGTATAAATAAGCATCATACTTCTAAAATGCGCTAAATACTGAAATTAGGTACTTGCTTTGATGCTAGTCTAGAGCTTAGAGAGCTCAATCACAAAGGTTTATGTTTGCTAGACATTCAAGGATTTTAAAATCACTCTTTATAACACTTATAACCTCTTATGCACTCACTATATACTAAATGTTGTTTTCCATTCAAGTAAAAGCTTCTCATCAAAAGAGATTATTAAAATAAGACATGAAATAGCTATATATACTCTAGGGCACTAAAATAAACCATAACATGATGCAAGGGATAAATATATAAGGAAAAAGTTTTAAACTTTAAAAACACCAAATGTTTTAAGAGATGAAGCCTTGAATTCCTAATAAATAACATAAAGCTAAAAAGAAAAGACACTTAAAATTTTTGTATACTACTCTAAAAATCATGAAACAAAACTCTAAAAACATTTATAACAGTCTTGTATGAAAGATAAACCTAAAAATCTCACTCAAATATACTTAAAACAACTCACTAAAATTAGCAAACACATATCTGGATGAAAAAATATAAAAATCTTACAGTTGTTAACTCTTAAAATTTTGTTCTAAGGCTCGCCAAAAAGCTTTATCCAAGATTTATTTAGCCATGTAAGAACGATCTATCTATATTACTCAAAATTGCGTGAGAATGCCCTAAACTTTTTTTACACTCTAAATAAAAGAACCCAAGTAAAAAGCTCTATAAATTGCTTGATCTTGGACTAAAACTCACATTCTAGAGAAAGCTTATAAATAAATTTATCTGACAAGCCAAAGAAAGATTAAAATAGTTGAAGATCTTTTATATATCAAACTTTTAAAATGACTATTACACATATCATGAATACAACTTATTTGCATGAACGGAATTAAGAAATTTGTGATATTAAAATAAAGTGCTCAACAAGATTTACAAACCCATTAGCTCCATTGCTTAATTCAATCAACAACCAAGGTGCAAAGAGGAGAAAATAATTATTCTTAGTTTAAAAAAGAAGAAAATTCAAAAAATTCTTAAAATTTAGACATGGGACCTAGAATTTTATAGTTGGGCACACTCATTCTTAAGCACTAATGCTAGTAGCAATGATGCATCTACCTAACTAGAAAATCTAGACATTTTCTATAAACATCCAATAGGACCCAACACAAGAAGCATGATAATAAGTGTCTCTTGGCGGACACTCTATCACCATAATGCAAATCTTTTGAGAATTCACCCTAAAATAAAAAAAAAACGAGATTAAATCTCAAATCTTGGACTCAGTCTTAAATTCGATTTCAATCTTGGACTTAATTTCATCTAATGAACTATTTATCATTTCAATTATAGTTTCAAAGATCTTTTAACCTACAAGGAGTTGGTTCCTTATATATTCCTCTTTCTTTATACAGTGAAGGACTTTTAAATGACATTTCAAAACACTAAAATTAAGTGTGAATATTATGAATATTCTCCCCACCTCCAACTACGTGGCTAGATTGAGGTTTTGATAAACCATATAAAGTATCTAAGTAAATAGTGCCACCCATACATAGATTAGGAGTATTGAATTTAATCTTTCAAAGGAATTAGAGCTAACTTTTAAATATTTCATCAAGTCACTCTACTTATCCATCAATGTTTAATCTAGCTTTAGACTTTCTAATATTTATATTATCACCCACTATATAGGTATAATGTTCCTTAGTCACACAAGGTTTTCCTAGAGTAATCCCCTTTTACTATTCCATAGAAATTTCCCAAATCCCCCAAAAATCTATGAAATGATTGCTTTGGGCTTTCATCCCACCTCTAGATATATTTATGCTTGAATATATTTAGCCTTATATAAGTCTAACACTTTAAACATTATATTTTTTGGTCAAGTGAGATAGTTTTGACATTGTTCTATTTTGAGTATTAGAGTTTAGCACTTCAATTTTGACACTTTTATATATCAAGACACATTAGTCATTCTTTTATCCTTTTTAGAAACCCATTCATTGCTTGTTTAGTATTTGTTCCTCAAGCACTTCTTTAAGATTTCCATTCCCACTTTTAACTTTTCAAGTTAAAGTTTTTACTCCAAATATTTTATATTTATTAGACTTTTGCCTCAGCCATTACTATGTAGCACACCTTTTGGCTCCATTTTAGGACTTAAGGATTGGTGTCTTATATCTATTAATTACAATAATTTTGTAGATAAATGAATATAAATGATAAATGATAGAGATTTACAAATAGTTTTATTAATAACTGAAATGATGGTAAAGTTTTGTTTCTTTTATATTTAAATTTTTTTGTATATTTCTCTGATAATTTATTTCATACAGTTCTGCTGAAAAAAAGCCCAATTAAACCTTAAAATTATAGATAACAATTTTATATATATATATATATTTCAAGGTCTTATTCTTATTGTTATTTAACCAAGCCAACTGCAGTTTTTATTAATTTCTTCACCAGCTAGATAAAAAATTAAATATTTACTATTAAAATTATCACTATATAACTTCACCTTTCATATTTATGAATACATTCCTCAACATAGTAGTTTATCTTTTCTATTTTCAGTAGTTAGAAATGAAAATTCTAAGTTTTTAGCTCTAACAATACTAAAGATACAAGAATTACATTCAAATTTTTGCCCTTTTGATGCACCAGAGCCAGGCATAGTTAGATATAATAGTATCACCTATTTGAAAGAAATTTACCTATTGTTTATAGTCTTTTGATCAATAACAATATATCATGAATATATCCTAATCATGAGCATAAAGGAATTATTTATGGTAATTTGTTATTCTTCCCTTCCTCCAAGTTATAGTTGTATAAATTGCTTAAATTCCCTTAAAACTACTATAAACTCAATTGCTCCCAAATCAATTGGAGCAAGTATATGTGATATATCAGGAATTTGCTACTTTTAAAATGATATTTTTGAGGTTTGATAGAAATCAAATGTTGATCTAAACCTCATTTTTTATTTTTATATAGCTTATTTTAATCTGATTTAATATTTAATTTAGTCAAATCACAATACATGATTGAGCTTCGCATTAGTGCAGCTTGATTGATTTTCTGTTCTTCTTATTTCAGAGTTATCATTATAAATAAAATTTAACACTTCCCATTTGTTTTGATAGGATTCATCATTTTCTTAATCGGACATAACTTATATTAAGTACGTTAGATTACTAAAGTCTCAAAAATTTCTTGGAAGTGTCACCAAATCTTGTCACCACACCTAGTAGACATCACTTGACAGCCTATGTGAGTATCTACGACATCTATAAAACACTAATCAATCTGAAAACACTTGAGCAACGTCAGGTAAAAAACAGGTTACAGGTGCAGGCACTTTGAATTGATAGTGCTCAAGCATCTGATCAAGCTGGCACAAACCTGCAAGAGAGTCAATAAAAAACACAATGAGTTCATTAGGAGACTCCTTACTTGGACCTTGAAAGCACAAGGTCAGAGGCAGCAAAGAAAGTTTCACATTGAGCACTCACTGATGGGTGTCCTTGGACTGAAGAAACTGCTTTGCAGGAATGTGAAAAAAGAAAGATAAAGTCACATAACGTATCATTGTAATCAATGAATCCACTGATGTCTTTGGGGAATGTTAAGAGCAAACAATGGGATTAATAGAACATGCGTGGAACGTCATCCAGATCATTTGGCTTGGGCTACGTGAATGCTGCCACCAGCAAGCTGATCCAGTGGATGAAGCTGGAGTTGGATGATTCTAGCTGGAGTTTCATTCTCTAGAGCCATATGCTTGCTTGACACTGGAATAAAAGCCTGCTAAGTACAAGCGTCAGGTCAGATTATAGATAAGGCAAAGCTCAAATAGATTTTCGGCATGCTCGTTGTAAACGTCTACAACCACAAAGCAGTGGACACTTCTATGTTGCTAAGAATAAAGTCCTAGATCCAGCCAGCCAAAGCATGAAATGCACTATAAGCAGCCAGCAAAACCAGGAAGGAGTAAAACTTGGCAGAGAATCTGAGACGTTTAGAGGTTGCTTGGAGCAGCGGACTCGGCATATACACTGGTGCCATAGCTTGTTTCCGCCACAGAAAGATATGAACGATAGGGCAAGCTAGCTTGATCGAAGCACTTGGCTACCAACCTAGTAAATCGAAAAATCCTGATCACCATGCTGGGCACTCTTTCCTCCATCGCAGGCCATAAAAGTGAATTTTATTCGTTAAAATTTAGATCTTATGATGTAATTCAAACCGTAAGAAATATATAACCAAAAATCTAAACCATTGAAACAACAAAGGCTTATTCCTCATTAGTACTTCACAATTGTTTACATAGCAAGTACAACTTCTTTAGCTCCACACATATGAACGCTTTAAGAAGATTAACACATTCCCTCGTTGTAGTGAGTCCAGCAATAGATGGTCCAAAAGAGCCACTGTAAGTATTGGATCCAACTGACCAAAGGGTGTCAGGGATAGTATCCTTAGTGTTTCCGTTACTTGAAAAACGATACCTTGTTTCCCTCCAAGCTGCATACTGCCCAATATGGTGTTGAAGGAAATAACATCCCAAACAAGCATGAGGAAAAACATTGCATTCCAAGACACGTCTGGCATTTGATGAAAGAAACTGATTCGGAAAACTGAAGATGCTGCTGATAACATTGCATTCCAATATGATAAGGAACACTATCAAGCATCAGTTTCGACAGTGACAAATGCCTGGCACAAAATTTTTAGCATTCTAGGATACTTGATCCCTTCCCGGCATAGCATCAAAGGAAAGCTTAGCGGATCCAATTGCCCCGCTCGGCATAAGAAATTAGCTGAGCATTTGTAAGAAGCACTAGCAGGGGATTAGCTTGTCCGCCTATGCCCAGCTACTGCTCATCAGATGCCGCAGACTCTGGCCAAGGACACGAGATCACGCTCCACACAAGATCTGGCTCGGGCATCACTTCAAACATCCCTCGCGCTGAACTTGGCGCCAATATGCCCCCTACAAGATTCTTTGAGCATCTATTTTAAGCTCTTTAACAAGATGCATATGCCACAATTGGCCACAATGTCTCTGACCCATGGCATCGCCAAGGTCGTCCGGATGTCCGTTTTGGGCATATGCCAAGAACAAGAGATCAAACAAGACCCCTCAAAAACCAAGAGAGCGTCGGCCGCATCTTCCATACATTTATATGAGGAGATTGGAGAGGAAGACCTGGGAGCCGGGAAGTGTTTGAGACAAGGAAGAACTCGCGAGTGAGTGGACTTGGCTTGTGGAGGACTTGATGGGACGAGCGGCTGCCAAATTCATGCTTGTTGCTGCTGGAGATACATGGTCTGCTGGGCGACCAGACAATTCACCAGCGGCAACTCTATGTCGGAGCAGTCACCCTTTTCCAAAACCATCTCTACTTTTCTCGTCACAACCACGACCTTGTTCTTCCTCGTTTCGAGCTCGTTGGCGACCACCGCGTGCATGCCATACTTGCAAAGCGACGAGCGTGCTTTCTTGAGGAGTATGTCCACGTCCGTTTCCAGCTGATACGAGAGAAAACTTTGCTCGATTGAGCTGCTATAGAGAAGAAGGAAATGAAAAACCTTGAACGAGACGCAAAAGGCCTCCGGAGCCCAATGCTTTCGTAACAATCCAAGCATCTTTGGAACCGGAGCGAGCTGCATTGTCATCGAGCCGTCATCCGACTGGATCTTGTGCTCCATCTGGATAGAGAAGATTATTTTTGAGATTTCCACCGAAAACAAAACGAGAGAAGACGAGAAGTTCTTACCATGGAGTTCCAGGGGACGTAGAAGTCGGAGACAGCCGCTGCAAAGTAAAACATAGCATGCCTGCCAACTGGTTTCATGGCAGCTCCAACAATCTCTAAAATCTGCCACGAAAAACCGTCATACAAACCAGAGTTTGCGCGGCACGTTTCTTACTTGGAGGTACTCAAAGAGCGTAGTGAACTCGAGCTTCAAGAGCTTCTTCTGGAGCACCGCCTGTTTTGATTCTTAAGAACTCAAGAAGAGAAACAAGAACTGAGCTTACAGAATGATGTCCTGTGACTGCCCGAGTCACAGCATCAAACCATTTTTCTCGTGCTGCGAAGCGGGAGTTAAACTCTCGAAGAAATAAAAGGCAGATTTCGCTTACCCCGGATGGATCCATCCACAGGTTCGAGACATTCTTGTATGGGATTATCCGGCAGCGAGCGGCAAAATGGCTGCATAGATCCTCTAAAAAGTATTTCACGAAAGTAGCATCACCATTTGCAAAAGAAAAAAAGAGTGCTGCTTGCCTCCGATGAAGGAAAATCACAGCATAGTCACTTGCAAGGAAGTACCTTGCAAAAAAAAAAGAATCATAAAAGAAGAATGAGTAGAAAGAATAACGCACTCTGTGGAGGCTGCTCCTCGACTCCCCGAGCTGAAATTGTCAATGACCCTAACGCATCGTCGCTCCAAGGGCACGGTCGTGCCCCCGGATGTAACAATGGCAATGCGCGTCGTCTAGAATCACGCGATTCAGCTCCAAAATACGAGAAATGCTAGTAGTAAGGATAAAACCTGGCCGATGGCCGATGCCGCCTTCCAGATATCCAAGAAGCGATTCACGCTCGCGACCACATCGTCGCGGCATCGGAGAGGCGGGGCCGAATCGAAGAACGATTGAGCTTCTTCCTCCATTATGACCGATGAACCCTAAATTCGATAACCCGTTTTATAAAGGTAAAGTTTCGAAAAAAGTAGTAAGAATCAAGAGCGTGAGTTTGCGAGCAGCACAAGAACAGCTCCATCGCTGGGGCTCGAAAGCAAAGCTCGTTTCGTCACTCGAGCACCGTTTTTCCAGATTCTATCGCCTCTGGAAGAACTTAGCATGGACGTCCAGTCCCACGAGTTGGGAAGAAAAGGCATGGTTTGCACAAGCTCTTCCGCCGCATGCAGGTATCCCGCTCGCCCCAGCATGTCCACGATGCAGCAGTAGTGTTGCTTTCTCGCCGCCACCCCGTAATCCAGACGCATGGAGTTGAAGTAGACATTGGGGGCTCGCCAACTTGGCTGCTCGCAATCATGAAGCAGGAATCGTCGGGCATCTCCACTAGCTTCATCTCTTAGAAGGAATCACACACGTCGCTGGGGCTGCCGGCTTGCGCATATGCGGTCAGCATTGCACTGAAGGATTCAACGCTGCGCAGGGGCATCGTTTGGAAC